CTTTGTTCTAGTTCACGTCTGTTCTTCCAGGACGTCTTTCTCCCTACTTCTACATACACACCCACACCCACGTGGACAAACACCACGGATCTCAAGACATCACACGGTCGTCGTCGACCACGAGATGAGCCACATATCACGTCGTTTCCCGGGGGGTCCTAATATGGGCACCCGATCCAGGGTAGCGCAAGTATTGCCGTTAGTTTGATAGCTTGAAAGCTGGTGGAGGTAGGTCATATGAAGCACCATGGATCGGCTCCGCGTTTGGGTACCCGAGGGAAGAACCACGTTGAGCTTGTTCTCCGTGTTTGGTCGTGCTTTTTCGCTGGCTAAGACATAGACGAGAGTCTCTGTAAATGTAGGAGGGATTGGGAGGGTGTGAGTTCTTCTTCACCTGCAATCGTTTTTTTGTTGACGCCATATCTGTTTCCAGTTCGAGAAGAACACCGCGGGCCATGGTCGAATCCGCGGGCAGGCCCTGCAACGGTCGTTTTCGTGTGTCTAGACCGACCAAGTCAAGTGCGACGGTGAGTGAAATCGGTACTCTCCATACGTTCGTCCGACCTGCAAGGCCTTTCTCCGCCTCTTGGATTGGGGTGTCCATGTCCTCCAAACATGGTTTGGAGCAGTCCTCCACTTTTCCTGGGACGGCAGTCCTTCAACATCGAAACACATGCAGTCCTTCATCACCGAGAGGAATGGCTGCTTCTTGGCTCACTTCATGAACGTCTCTGCTGACACCCAATCTTCACTCACTTAGCATCCATACCCTTCCTAGCAGCCCCCCCCCAAGAAGGCTCGGTCTGAACCATCCTGTGACTCCACGTCTGAACACTACGATACCGGTACTCAACTAAGTTTGATCCACATAGATTAATGCCACATCCTTTTGCAATGTTAACAATTTTACAGATCCTTTGCCCATCTGACATGACCAAGTCACGAGTGGAGAAGCTGTCAGGTGTAAGGTCCTTGGTCAAGGGTCCTTGCACTCCTTAGTTGAATTGACCCGCTGTCAGACTGTCACAAGTGACTGTGGTCAATCAGTTAAAGTAGAACTGTCATTTGGGTGAACGCGGTTTGTAATCAGCGTGATCGTTCGGCAGCATAGTGGGGCAAGTGCACGTGAACTGTTGGGGTTTACGGATAGTGAGCCGCCCTGAAGTTATAGTGAGTTCTACGGATAGAACCATGATGAACCACTGCGCTCTGCATGAGTTGTGCCCGCCCAGATTTTTTTGATTGGTCTTCAGGGGGTTCTGGACCCTGCTATGGAGGGTGCAAGGATTCTTAGGGTAATATTATATATATATATACGTATATAATGTTATGTCAGTGATGTCATGTATATAGCTGGAAGCCGGTCTTCTCCATGCACCACAAAAAGAAGACACCGACACTGATTGAAGGATCAAACAAAAGATCAAAAGCAAGCATTGACACATGAACCATGGCGCTCAGAGGCCCCAAGTTGATTCAATTCCCTTCACATCCCGGACGTTTGCAGCACGAAGGAATGAGAGGTTTGAGTTGTTCTGACATCCGAGGTTTGGAGAGGTTAAGCATGTACCAAAAACTGAATGGATAGAAAACGGATGAAGCGGTGGCAAATGGTTTGTGTCTTTTTGCAAATCAACCATGACAAGCCTGAGGGTTCCACCAAAGAACAACGGCATGATTTCCTTTGATCAATTGATCTGGTACAGTATGGGTCAAGCAGCTGAAATCCATCTGAGTGTTACCAACTTTAAAGAAGAATGGATCTGAAACAGACCAAACCCAGACCATCCATAAATTATGTACCTGTAACTTACATCTTCAAATCACCCCAATAGTCAACATATTCCAGTGCCATGGATTGTTAGGGAAACCATCCAGGCCAGTGAGGCAAGCCTCACAGGCTGTGCTTGTTTTGAGGAGCATCCAGGGTGATTGGACGGATCTTTCTTCCCATAAGCATCCATAACCAAAACGATCCATGTAAGTAAATATGATCTACATGAACACCACCCAAAACCACCAGTCACCGACCGGCCATAGGACTGCATGGATCACCACCATCTGATGGAACCCATCTGTGGTCAAGCTTCGTTCCAAGGTTGCGATCCTTAGCCGGTTTACAGCGCAAATCAAATCTCCAAGTTCAATTGTCCCCCTCCCCCCCCCTTCCCCTCCCCCCAAGAGAACAAACACATGTCCACCCAAAAAATCACCACGTGTTGCGAGCGTCAATTCATGCTTCTACCCCGGTGTTGCGAGCTTCTATTCGCCCAAACACTCCACCATCGATGTATCAATGTCGCGGCTGCTGGATGTATCCCAATTTGACGGTCCCACACCCAAGCGACTCCGAATCGGTCCGTCGCTGGAAGATGCTGTGGACCAGTAGCAAGTTGACAGGCTCATGGCTGGAGAAGGCACCAATTCATCAAGGGTCATCAACAGGGTCATCCTGGACATGGGTGTCCTGGCTAGACTACCCTACTTTACTTACAGGCCTCCATTGGGCACCCATTGGAAGTGCTAGGAATGTGTGTGTGTGTGTGTGTGTGTCTTCTTGTTTCACATTTGCACCATTTTGCACATCAAGACCATTAGGGTGAATGGCGAACTCCAAGCTGATCTTCCGGCTGGAGGTCTCCGACTCAGTCTCCACTAAGGGATTAAAGCCGACCCCGAGGGATGTGACTTGGCACCAATTTCCAGATAAACCTCTGGCAGAAACCAAGACTTTGTTGGGAGTTTGATTTATGTTGACATAAAATATGATGCGTATCATTGAAAAAAAACACCTCAGTCAGTGGGAAGTCTTTCTTCCTCCTCCCGTTCCTGGGCCGCGGCACGTGACGGTTTTCTGCAGCCAACCCTCAGCCCAGCAGGCTTCTGCCTGAGCCATGTGGAGGTGGTTGTGGAGTAGATGGAGAGTATATAGATGGAAATAGGATGGCACCCCATGGTCTTTTGGGGGACAGGGTTCTTTCTGGAACATCCTATGCACCCCCAGGGTTCGGAGAACTGTCCGTTCGCCTGCAGCCTGGTCCAGTGTCTACCCTAGGTTCAGCCCCCCGGTCTACGCCTCCGTTTGCACCGCGTCCGTCTGCGCTCCGTATCCATCGACATGTGACTGGCGAACGGCAACTGTTCGAACACTGTCAGAGCAACGGAGACTTGGCTATGTGCCTATCAGGTAGAACATGCTAGAACAGTATAGATGTCAGTGACTCCTCCCCCTGAAGCAGCACAAACAGGCTGTGAACCTGGTGAACCTCTTGGCAAAGGGAGGAAAAACACCGGCAAACCACAGCAGTTTGCCTGCACGTGTTTGCCTTTCGGTTTCAGAAATTCCGACCACACGACGGGTTTCGCGTTTCGCCACACGACGGGGAGTTCGGATCTGCCCTGTGTGGCTCCCTTCCACCTGTTCCATCTTGAGTGGGGAAACCAATTCCGAAGAGAAAAAACAGCTTGAATCTCCGCCTTCCTGGCAATATGCAGTGATACCATGTTCTACCCACATAAACGGGAAGAAATGTCGACTGTCAGAGATCTTCCCGGTTCCTGCCATGTGCACCTCGCAGATCTCGATGCCAGACATCTTTCCTCGGCCGCGTAGCGGGCCTTCCGATTTGAGCGTGAGCCTGGTCGTGTGAAAAAACAGGTGCACCAAATGGCAACCTGTGTCAAGAAATCGTCGAAATCGACTCCCCAATCCATTCAAGAATATTCAAGACCTGAAAACCTGTACATGAGAAATCTGCCAACCTCACCCATGGAAAGTTTGCCATGGACAGATTGTGTATGTCAGTGCCCCCCAGACGCTGCTCAACAAGAGCTTTGCAAAGTTCAAGAAGACTTGATCAAACTCTCATGCATTTGAAGTTCCCCTTCGGCCCTTCGTAATCATGATCACAAATTCGCAAAGCCCCAAGCAATCTCCATCCCAGACACTCCATGTCCATGTATGGCATATACCTACATTGGCATTGGGGTGGTTTGAGGGGTCAATGTAGGCATATCTGGCAGTCCCATGGAGCGTCTGGGCATGATTCCTCAAGAAATCCCTGAAAATCCCTCTTGATCGTTCCCTTGGTTTTGCTTCAGGGACTTGAGGGCTTCTTAGGTATGTCACAGGTCACAGTATGTCCGATACAAAGAGGGATTCTTGACATGAAGCTCATCTATAGATGCTTTGAGGCGCCTATAGAAAAAGTGGACGCCTTCCACAGCCGAGACTCCGGTTCGGTAGGGCGAGTGGAGTGCTTCACTCAATCTTGAGCCCACATACGCGTCACGCGTCGGCGGCGTTCACGCGTCGGCGGCACGGGGGGAACGCCGACCCAGTCAGCAACCCCAAAGTACTATTGGAGAAGGGCGCGGATTCCAAACGGGTAGAGCAATATGATGTCTATCCAACGGGTAGAGCGACATGTCAAGCCTCTGATTTCATCTCAACATACCTCAACCGCCGCAAGGATTTGGAGGCTATGATGGGCTATGAGTGCTTCACGCCTTTGAAAGCAATCAGGTGGCCTTTTTGGTTTCAGGCCTCACTTGAAGAGACCCTCCATAAAGCTGGAATAGTATATTTGCTGGTTGGGGCCTGGATTAGGGTCATGTGAAAAGGTATAAACATGCTAATCTCACATTCAGTATTCATTCCAGGTATTTCAAGAGGGAGACTGCAGTATGGGACCCCGCTTCCAGCTGCTTCCGTGCGGATGGCGGTCGAGTTTCGGGACCCCGCTTCCTGGCTAAGAAGTGGGGTCGAATGGAGTCGGTGGTTCGCAGCTCCACCCGTTCGTAGCGATGCCAGGAGCTAGTAGCGTCAGCGTCCTTGCTCCGTTCGTAGCGATGCCCTTTGTTCCTAGTAGCTTCTTGCTCCTAGTAGTAAGGCCAGGAGCCCCTAGTAGCCCTTCCTTGCTCCTAGTAATGCCAGGAGCTACACTAGCGTCTTTGCTCCTAGTAGTGATGGCCTCCACGCACCGTACCGAGCTCCCGGCCTTTCTTCTTGGCCTTTCTTCGATGGCGACGGGTCGCGAAGTCGAGAAGACCATCACCAGCTCGGTGAGAGATGGGGTTGGTCTTGGAATCCAGTAGGCATCCAGTCGTACCGAACCTCAAGGTTCGGTACGACTGGTCCCTCCTGGCACCATAGCAGTGTCGAAGCACATCATCCCCGAACCGAAGGTCGACCTTGTTCCAAAGCGAAGCGGTCGGTCGGTCTCACACCGGTGGCGCTATTGGGGGTGACCCCCGAGGTTTGGAGCATCAGAAAACCCGAAAATCACGAAAGAGGCTGCTGCTGCTGCTTTCCGCCCCCAATCCCTAAAGGGTGAGGATTTGGTGGTCCAACCCAGACGCGACCCATGGGACTGCCATAGGACTGCCGATCAGGCCAGGGGTGGTGGTTTCGGAGGTCAATATGGGTCAATGTAGGCCATACATGGAGTGTATAGGGAAAGATTCATGTCCAAATCCTTGAAGAAAGTGCCCCCCAGTGGCGTCACACGGAGGAACCCCTGCGGTCCTTTGGGGACCGCCTTTTTGAAGGACCGCGGGGGGGAAGGGCTGCATGGCACACCAATGACTTCAAAAACTTGGAGATGATCCCCATATATGATGCCTAATTTCCACCAAATCTGGGTCATCTGGCATCTGGGTACAAGTTCATCTGACTTCTCGTGTTTTCTCTATGATTTGTTGTGCACACACTAGTCGGACAGGTCTTCAGAAAAATACCGGTGGCAGCAAGAGGTTATCTCCTGGGTTGATTCGATCCAAGGCCCAAAGAAGGAAACGGTCCTGAGAAAGAAAATTATTCAGCTCAAGAGAGCTCCACAATTGGAGCAGAAATGATGGGGACAAACTATACAGTTTCTGCAGGGACTCGGGTGAATCACTGCTCGAATCAGCCCTGGTGGCAACTTCATTGAAGCTGCTTGAGCTGAAGGTTCCAGGAAATGAGACGGATGATCCGAATGGCATGATTAATGAAACATCAACTCTGCCCAAGATGGATAGAGTCGAGCGGTCATGTTGTTAGCTGTTTGATCATCTTACCCACCCAGACGCTCCGTGAAAACAGCCCGACAGGTCCCTCAAAACCGATGGGGATTGGTGAGAACCCCCAGACCCCTCCAGAGGATTCGCGTCCAGGGTTGCGTCTGGGTGAAAATGCATTCCTCTTCTGTGACATTGTTCTGCTGCGATTGTGCTGTGCTCTGTGATACAGGACTTCAGGTCTCGTGGTTGGACCTGCCGCTGATCTGTTGAACCTGTTTCACGGTAGCTTGTCTCGCGAAACCGTGGAAACAGAACTCACCTTTCATTGATGGCGAACACATACCCATGATAGCACATGACCCAAGGATGTCCATGCATGGAATAGGTGCCTACACTTGGGTGCTTGACAAGGGTCGAGGTAAATTCTATATATTTACTGTATATAAATTAGAATCTTGTTTCTACTAGCTTCTTGTTACTAATAGTAAGGCACTTGTTACTAGTAGCGATGCACTTGTTCCTAGTAGCGAACATTGTACCACACAAGGAGTCATCACACTCTACCATGCGACACCTCACTCACCACATCACGCCCCGGCTTCCCTTCGGCTTCGCGGCGCAGGCGCCAGGGCTGAAGGCCGCGGTGCGCCAGAGCCACGGAGACGTGACCCTCCAGCAGTTCGGCCAGCTCCGCCATAGTGTCATCGTCCGGCGCGTGGATCCGGTGGAAACATGTGGGGTGGCTGGAGGGGGGAACAAGTGATGCGTTGATGGAGTCACTGCATACTGCGACGGGTTCTTAGAGAGTCAAAGCAAGCTGGACTGGACTTGGGGGAGGTCTGGGAGTGCCATGTGTGGTGAGGTGCGGATGTCATCGGTCGAATTCAGGTCTAATCGGTCTAATCTAGTCCAAATCGGATGGCCCAGCAGGTTCATTTCCACTGACTTGGCTTCAGCGCCTGGTTCCGGTGAGTTCCCATCCTGTGTCAGCCTGTCTGTGTCCGAGGTTGACCATCTTTATGCAGCATCTCGCTTGCATATCTCTTGTGCCAATGGCAGGATGACGCGGCCACAAGAGCAAAAAAAGCTGCAGAACTGCTGCACGTCACAAGAAAGGTCTGGTGCTATGAAAAGTATACAAACCTAGAACACACCTCTATTTTGGATCACCAAAAAGTCAAACAACTGTCTTTTCCAATCAAAAAGGAGGTCAAATGGGCTCTAATATATACAGTATGTACGAAAGCTCCAATGATCCATCAGACCTTGGTTGCTCTGCTGTGAAGTATTGGCGGCTCCATCTCTTGGCCAAGTTGCAATGGCCACAGCTGCTTCATCTTGAGAAGGAACAAGCCTCAGACACGTCTTACACGAGGACATGGACATGCCGTCCAACATCTCATGTGTACAAACATGTACAAACCAGGAAAACCCATGGACAAGGACAATCCACCCATTCTTCTAGAACCTCGTTTTTTCTTCATTCTCTTACTATCAAGGATGACCCGTCGCATCTGGTGAAAGCCTCCGGCTGGACCTGGACCTGGAAAAACCTGGAAGATCCATGAAAAGCCGGTTCCTCGCAGCTTTGCTTCGCCCCTCAGTTCCCGTCCCATCTCCGAGTTCCACACATCCTCCCCGGTGGACCCGTGGCGTGGCGTTCAGCAACAGGGTGGCTTGGAAAGGCCCAACATGACCCTTTCAGGGGGGATCCTTCATTTTCATCCTCAGGTCTTCTGACCGAAAAAGCTGCGACCGGTCACGTGTCACTCCTCAAACCTCGGCTACTTAACAGTGTCGAACACATCGTACCTGAGAAGGTTTTTGGATTTGGGACGGTCTTGGAGGGTCCATCCCCAAGAAACACATTTTGAGGTTTCCTTCCACTCCAGCAGTCCATGGTCTTGTCTTCTTGCACCTTGCAAAACGGTATGAAAACAAACCAAAGCCAGCACACTGCTCGCGACACATGACCCCAACTCGTAACGGCACAGCTGAGCTCGTCTGGCCAGCACGATGCATTGCTCGGGAACCTCAGTTTCCATCAGCCGCTCGGACACGTCGAAGGCCCTGGTCACGTGGGTGTCCCATGCTCAGACACGACCCCAACTGGTCGGCACCAGTCCCATATCGAATGTGACTTGAAGGACGATAACCAAATCAACCATATCCCAGGCACTCCATGTATGGCATATTTACCGCTACATTGGGGTGGTTTCAGGGGTCAATGTATGTAAATATGCCATACATGGAGTGTCTGGGATATTTTAGTGGTATTTGGAGAACAACAACTGGGTGGGTATCGGGTCCTTCAACTGTTGTGAGTCTTCCACACAGAACAACATGAGTGGGAACATTGCAAGCCACTGGAGCTGTTCCCGGGCCACCCTGAGCAAAAACGCTGAGCAAGCCACGGGCGAGCTGCCTGAATCCGGGCCTCAAACCTTCAATGGAATGGGTGAATCGTTCGGGTCGAATTCGGAACCCTCCCGACGTCACGCGTTTCGGATCGTTTCGGTGGAGAAGGGTCCCAGGTTGCGTGGCGTCGTGTCAGACCTGCGGGGATGAAACACCCAACGGGGAGGGGAACCCTGCGGAGAAGGACACCACCCGATCCGCAAGCCATCATTCGGCCCCAAAAAGGCTTGTCACCATTCGGAAAAGTCAATAAACATAAAGCAGGACGCGGCTCACATAGCTCATGGATCGTCATGGTTCCATGTTCATGGTTCGGTACACCTGAGTACGCTGAGTATAGAGCCTGGACCACTTCGAGTATTGGTTTGGGCACCCCTTGGACCAATCCTAGAATGAACGGCATAAAGCCTTAAGAGGTTGATCTACTCCAGTGGACCCTTTGCTTCACAGGTCTTATAGCTTTGTCTCGTTGAGGATCGGCCCGCATGCGCCGCTTGCGACCCCTCGCGCCGCGGCGCGGCGTTCTCGTCGGGCCGAGGGGACGGTAAGGCGCCCTTGCCGTCCCAAGCGATCGAGTTGTGAGCACCACAACCTGAAGACGGACGGATCGACTCGACATCCCTCTGCAACATCTTGAGATGAATGAAGAACAAGGACACGATCAATGAAAAAGAACGGCAGAAATCACTAGGATTCCAAGTATTTCAAGACATGGGGGATGATGATGGATGATGAAATCACCAAAACCATCCAAAACCCACTGCTGAGCATGTTTCCCCTGCTCGAGCCATCATCCACGCGGAAACGTCACGCGGCGGAGCACGTCAAACGCGGACCACGCGGACCATTGAGGTGTGGAAGGACGACCGAGCTACTTGAACCCCTGATCCTTCCGGCAAGCCAGCTCGATCCGAAGTTGAACCACCTCCTGAGACATCCCTAGGGATCCAGTCGGCAATCCATCCCGAAAAAACGACTGGACCTTCCAGTCACCCCACAGAGTGTCGAACACATCACCTACGAACGACCTGAGAAGGTCAGGTACGACTGGATCCCTAGGGAAATGACAGGAACCCAAATCAGCTTTATGACCCAAATGGCATCCCTTGGCGCCCTTCTGAGACGAATCCCACCCTGAGGGGCCGACCCATGAGTGCAAGTTCTTTGCCCCAGCCGATCCTGAAGTCGTCGAACTCGCGATAGGTGTGTTTCCACGAAGCGAAACGAATCTGGAGTGGATTGGATCGCCTTTTTCAACCCGACTTGCGATGCTGAGTATGGGAAGACAACCCCACTATGAAGCTTGAGACAGCTGGCGTCCCCAAAAACGGCCTAGGTCACCGCTGAGAACGAAGAGATGCCTCGAACCCCCGGGCGGACCCAGGCCCTGCCGGTGCAGACCGTGCTAGGTCCGCGGGCTTCGGCACCAACTGGAAGCGCTGCACCTGACGACGGCTCGGCCGTGGGGTTCCAGATCCAAGACGACTCCTCAGTCGTCGCCAGGCTGAAAGCATCTGGAACTGCACGATCGGAGGAACTGACTTCGCAGTTTTAACCCCTTGGGAGGAGCGAAACGGGCCTTGTATCTGTGGGACACTGCTGCATCTGTTCCTGGTTTTAGCGACGCAACGCATGACCAGGTCGTTATCAACTTCAATCCCCAAACCGAGTGGGGGCTTCATGCGTTGGTTCGCACGAAGAGCCGAAGAATCTGGACGACCCAACGGCCCAACATGGTTGTGAACGATGCCTAGATGTGCCTAGTGTCATCTAGTGTCTAAAACAACTCATTTTAAGCTGCCTGGAGCTGAGCAAACTGCCCATCCGCTGTGATTTTCTTTTCCACTCAAACTGCAGTGGCAAAACCTGTTCATATGCAGGGGAAATATCATCAAGCGTCTACATTAGTCTTTTTGTTCAAGCCACACATGATGCAACACATGATGCAAAGCTACAAACATATCCTACCAATCGTCAGCGTCCACTGCATGTGTCGCCATCAAAGCGCATCAGAAGTCAGAATCGGTCAGAACTACTAGATACAGCAATTGACCGATCCAAACATCCTTTGTCTCATAGCCACTCATCACTACAGTTCAGTCTTGGATCTATGTGAGATCCACCGACGTCACAAAAACATATCCTTCTCGTTAAAGAACCTTACACAACCAAAAACATGGTCCAAAGATCGCGCAAAGATCCCGGGGATTCGCCAGTTTCGTGGCGCAAAATCAGGGAAATAGATCCAAGGGTAGTGTCATTCAGTCCTTCGTTCTATTGCAATGGTTCGACTGATTCCCATTCCTTCGTGCCTGCGCTCGAGGCACTCAGTGTGACTCCGAAACAAATCAAAGCACTGGGTATGCAGCTTAAACACCACCCGAGCAGGGTGATTGTTGGAGTAAAGACAACCTGATCAGGATAAGTTCTATCAACCACCCGTGGTGCTGTGAAATGATGCTCATCTTTGGGTCTCAAGGTGCCATGATGATTCCCCGCGCCGCTTCCCTCACGCGCCTCTGGCGCGGGGCCCAGGGCACGCAGCTCCGAACGCCTCGGAGTAGTGCGAGGAATGTGTGTTTTTTTTGAGTCCTAAGAGCAAATCAAGCCAGTCGGAAATCAAGCATATTGGAATTGAATAGTATAACATAGCGCATACGTTGTATTAGTATTTGTTTGTGCTATAGTTGCAGTACTATTGCTGTAATTCATACATATATATATACATATAGATTATATATTTTAAGTTACCCTGACCATCGGCGACAATTATACAAATAGGCTTGAGTCACAGCACATTATATTCCTGCTTGCGACTATTTAGGCCATGCCAAAGAGGTTTCAGGGCTTTGTCACAGGCCTTGTGCATCCTTTGGTTGCCTTGGTGTGGACTCAAGGACATGAAGGTTTGTCCTGGAGAGGAAAAATGATTTGAAGAGTTTGGATCTTCGTTTTCGGGTGGTTGCAGTGCAGTCATGCTAATCCTCAAGATGTGGACAGGTTGGTTTCCTTTCTCGAGTGTTGTAATGGGTTTTGATGTGCAAAGGCGATATTCCATGGGCACAAAAGTTAAAAGACTTGAGCATGCACCGCACGGAGCTGTGCATGCTCTTCAATGCCTTCAATCCGAAGTGCTTTGTCAAAGCGTGCGGGGCTTGGTTGGGGCAGTTAAGGCTTGTTGTTTGGTCATGGTATGCCATGAATAATGTCAGTCAATATGAGTACACTGCTTTGTATATTGTCTTGACGATGGAAAATGCCATACACACAAGAACCAGC